GGTGGGCTGGGGGTGGGGGAGGAGGGATGAGGGTGAGGGGAGGGAGAGGGAGAAGGGACTTACATGTGAAACAAGCTTGTTCCCTAACTGGAACTAATAAATAAATTTAAAAAAAAAGAATTCTAGAGTTCTAGAGTTCAAATACATATTTTTATAAATCCTATTTTACTCAAGAAATACAACTAAGTATACCCACTGCAGAGTTATTAAATGGAATCAGTATTTTCGATAGATCACTAAATGACTCATATGGATACTAAAAAAAATTTAAAGACTAAATTCCTAAAATTCTAAGAGTCAGGCACATATCTGAGGCTGAGAAAGAAAGATCATGAGTTGGAGACCAGCCTAGGTAAGACATCAGTAAGACATCTAAAGAGAAGACAAGAGGATGAGCAGAAGGAGGAAGAGGAGAGGGAAGGGGAAAAGAAGGGAAGGAGGAAAGCAGAAGTGTGTCAGGATTTCTGTTGACTGCAAAAGTTAAGTATTCGTCTTAAAATGTCATTTGAACAATTTTGCTGGTTAAAATGCAATGTTGCTTTCAATTTTTATCCCTTCTTATCACCATATAAAAAATAATCCTGTAGCATCTTTTTGCCTTCATGGTTGGTCCTGGTACAGTTCTATCACTCTTACAGATTTCATATTGATGACAGTTTTTAATCCTGTATTGCTTGCTCATTTTTGCCTCTACAGTTTTTATTTCATTAAACATTTTATATATGGTAAAATGCTAGACATACTGGTAACTCTTGATCCATTAATGTAATTTATAACTCAATTTCATAAAGCAGTTAACATATGTTTAGTTAATTTAACCTTAACACGTTTTCTGTCATTTCATACAATTTTATAAGCATTTCTTCTGTGAGGCAGGATGCAATGTAGCTATCATGAATTGTTTCTTTAATGCATTAAAAAATGGAAATATTTCTTGAGATATTTAACAGTGTATCTCATATTTTAATGCTGTTTGGAGAAAGTTTTATCAGTGAAGCAAAGCAGCTTTACTTCCTACTGTGTGTAAAATGATAGCCTTTGAAAATTTTCTCCTTTATAACAGCAGGAGATAGAAGCATATAGTCATCTCATAGCATATTTCCAATTGGGACTAATGTAGATTATGTCTATTTTGACTGGTAATATGTAAAAATATGAGTCAACAAAGTTAAGCTGTTGAAAAATATTCTTAAATCAGAGGGCAAATTAACATTACAAGAAATAATAGAGTCAATGACTTCAAGTCTCAATTTGAAGTCTGCCTGGCTTCAGATTCATAATGATACAAAGTGGCAATGTAGTCTAGTTTAAGGGCAAATCTAACACAATTGCTGTATATTTTGTAAATGTCCTTGTTAGCATACCCCTTTAACATCTAAGTAACCAAATTAAGTTTTCTTTTAATTCACTTAAAGCTATCATTTGATCATTTTACAAAATGAAAATATTAGTTTGAGTCCCTAACGTTGAGGTCTTAATGATTTTTTTTATGTATTTTCTCGTTATCTTTAATATCTAGCAACAAGAATAGAATATACTTGGAGTTATTTTTATTCTTCCTTCCAGAGGTTTCCTGTAATGTGTTGAGCTGCTATCCACTGCCTATAACTACTGGTAAGAAAATCCTTAGTTATGATCTTTATATGGCATTTCTTTCTCTTTGCCTGTGTTATGGTTCTCTTCCTATTTCACTCTTGGGCTACACTCTGATGGACAGTTTGATGTTGGGCTACTCTCTGATGGACAGTTTGATGTTGGGCTACTCTCTGATGGACAGTTTGATGTTGGGCTACTCTCTGATGGACAGTTTGATGTTGGGCTACTCTCTGATGGACAGTTTGATGTTGTTTCACAGTGCTATGGATTCCCCATTCTGTTTCTGTGTATTCTACTTGTATTTCAACTTCAGTAAAATCAACTGATACCAAATCCCATTTACCTTTTCCTGTGACATGCAGTTTTTATTAGTAAGTCTATCATAAGAATGCTTACTTTTTGATACTGTGTTTCCTTAATTTTTCTATTTACCTTTTTAAAGTTTCTACTTCACTACTGAAATTTCCAAGTCTTCAAGAATAATGTTCAACTTTCTGCTACATCATTAAATATAATAATTGTTGTTTAATTTCTCTGAAAATTCAAACATCTGGGTCATCTCTATAAGCAGTTGGGTCGATCATTTCTTGAGTATGTTAATTTTTGCATTCTTTTGATGGTGAATTTTTATTTTATAATTAATTGTAAGACAGAAGAGAATGAGTCATATCCTGTTTACACATGGGTTGGCTCTTCTGATTCCTTTCTTATGCAGGATGTTTAGTCACTCTACCCAGGGGGTTAGCTAGTACATAGTTCTGTGCTTCTCTGACCTCCTCCAGCTCATCACAGGCTTCATTTGGGGGGGGGGTGGAGGCATAGACAGCTGAGTCTTATACTTGGGATAGGCTGCACTGCTAAGTGAAAGTCTCACCATGTGTGTGTCCTTCCATCTTTCAGTGATTCCGTTATACCTGCACCTCATTTGGATCCCTTCTCTGTCCTCTTACTGAACTTCCCCAAGACAGCACTGCTGGTTTTGGTACTTAGAACTAGAACTGCTTCATCATGACAGGGTAATGTCCAATTCATCTTGATGCAGCTTGTCTCTAAAGATGTACCTATGGTCCTGAGCCTGAAAATGGGTTTTTCTCTATACCGCTCATCTCCTTGGCTCATGAGAGTTATGCTATGTTTTGTGAATGTGTGTGCTTTCCTTCACTAGATGAGAATCTCTGCTTTCTGCCCCACTTAGTTCAGGATCCTCAGTGTAAGAGTCTTTCTTCCTCCCACCCACTTTGGGATGGAGGCACTATTTGTTTCTAATCATCTATAAAACCTGTGGAACTTTAAGTGAGCTCCAGGAGGCAATGAGTTGGCTTCTGTACCACCCCATTAAGGGACCTGCCCTCAGAGCTATTGATTGCCCCTATTCTTTCCTAGGAGAATTTCTTAGAGTCTAATATAAAGTATTTGAATTCAGTCTACAGATATCCAGTTACT